AAAATTCATTTTTTGAAAAAAAAAAGATGATATTTACATTCTAACAGAAAATAAACGGAAAGCACTTTTAAGTGTTTTTCTTTAAAACTACTCATTGTCATCTTGGTAACTTGCTGACTTCTGATTTCTTTGACATTTACAGCGTGGTAAGAACTGGGCCTCATGTCTGGACGAGTTAGACACTCCCCTAGAGAGCCAGTCAGATTTCTGTCCCACGGTGGCAGCAGGTAAAATTCTGTAATCAGTTATTTCTTTGGGTTAATTAATGAGTTCTGCACTTTTCAATAAATTGTACTTGTCTCTACATATATGTGTCCTTCAATTCTTTTTAAGTTTTCTCTAGAATTAAATTTTTACTGTAGATTTAATTATACAATGTACTACATAAAAGAGAGGAGCTGATATGCCATACATATCACAATATTTATTCAGTCAAATCTTTATTTAAATTAAATGATGGAAATAATTGTTCCATTCAGGTACAGACAAACATGAATACACAAGCTACAGCAGCATGCCTTCCATTTTCAAATTTTTGACTGAGAAATACAAAGAGATGACAGAACCTTCAGAGGAGAAGAAAGAAAAGACAGAAAACTCAGAAAACATGGCCTCTACAGAGAAAGGTTCAGAAGAGGAAGCAATGTCACAGGATGTAACAGCCAGTCAGATTGATGTAGAGATGAACTCACAAAATCCTGAAGAAAGTATGAAAGATGAACTTTGATTGGTCATTGATGACTTGTGTTAAATATTCATGAGATATTTATTTTGTGCATCAAATTGTAATTAATTGCATTGCTTTATGTTGTTTTATGCATTTTCATACTGTGTGATGTGACATAACTCTACATTTTGTCGGGAATTACTTGACACTGGCATTTTTCTTTACATTTCAGAGCTTAAAATGAATGTATATATTATTACAAAATACATTGTTTTTATTTGATAATACATACCGTTTTTTAATATAGAAGTATTTATGTAAATATTTGTTAAAAAAAAAAAAAAAAAAAAAAAAAAAGAGAGAGAGAGAGAGAATATTTTTGTATTTAACGAAAAATAAGTTCTGCTGTTTTTGAGAAATAGTATACTTCTTAAAATTAAAAATTAAATAATTTAATTTGAAAAAAAGGATGATAACTAATTTTTAAAGACAAAAATCAATACATCTCTATTGCTTTTGGAAGTCATCTATATGGTGTATTATATTATCTGCACACTTTTTCAAATGATTGGATTGAGAAACATGCATGTTAAATGCAAACCTTTTGTTAATTCTTGCTTTGTGTCAGGAATTTTTTTTATCATCTCGTGTCACTTGTGCAGACCGGGGGTCTGAAATGCATGAAATTACTTGAACATGTAAATTTTTCCACGTATGACCATTACCATTACTTTCATTTTAGAAAGTAATTTATAAAATCATGATTACTTTTCTAAACTTATTGATTTCTTAACACACTGTATTTCAGATTAAAACAAGAGGCCCATGGGTTACATCACTCACCTGAATACACTGGCTAGAAAAAGGCAGAAATCGTTTAGTATTGAAAAGGTTAACTAAGTATAAAAGTGATCACATATATACAACCCCCTCTCCCTGAGAAAGATGTATTGAAAAAGTTAACTAAGTATAAAAGTGATCACATATATACAATCCCCTCTCCCTGAGAAAGATGGGGAAGGACTTGATTTGATCACTCATTGTGGCCCTTCCCAACTCCCAGGGGTGGTAATTTGCATAAACTTTACACTACTTGAGGATGCTTTTATATAGGTATAATCACCAATCATAGCTTTGTGTTCTTGAGAAGATTTTCCCAATATAATTCTATGTAAATCTTTGTTCACTCATTATGACCCCCTCCCTAGCCCAGGTAGTCATGATTTGAACATTCTTGATCTACACAACATGGGGTGTTTCTTTTAAAATATCACATATTATGGCTTTTCTGTTCTTGAGAAGGGTTTTAAAACATTTGATTGCCCACTGTGGCTTCATCCTAACCCCAGAGATTATGATTTGAATGAACTTGAAGGTATATTTTGTCAGGAAGCTTTCCCCTAAGTTTTATCAATTCTGGTCCAATGGTTCTTAAGAATTATTTTGAATACTAGTACCCCCACCCAAGTTGCACTGTTTCTTAGTTATCTTTCCTTGGAAGACATTAGTCAATATGGTTCTTCATTTGAACAACCTTGAATGCCCTTTACCCGAGGATACTCTGCCAAGTTTTGTTGAAATTGGTCCAGTGGTTTTTGTGAAGAAGATATAAGAATGTGAAAAGTTAATATCATGATATCAAAGACATACAGGTACCTGAAGTTTACTTATTTTTCTTTTAATATGTAGGGGTTATATTTTTTTATTAAAAGAAAAAATAAGTAATATCAGGTGCCTGTGTATTATTAAGGTCTTCCGTTTCCAACGGAAGACCTTCTACTGATTCTGTTGGTAAAGATTATTATTCTTTTTTTTTTCTTCTACTTCCTAGACGCCAACTTTGAAGCATCATATCTCACTCAGTTCTCAATTGATTTCGCTCAAGTTTTCAGAGGTACTAGACGTTACTAAACTCTATCAAAGTGCTGTCAAAAATTTCAAAAAGTCACTTCCGGTTTTGAGTTATTTCCCTTTAAACGAAAATTTATAGGCTTTCCTTTCCAGACAAAGGCTCAGAGACGGCTAAAGCTGGAGCAAAAATTTTACTGATTTTAGATAATAGAAGGATTGAAGTTGTGCACATCGGTTTTTGTTTTTCGATTTCTCTATTCAACATGGCGCTATATAGGGTCAAAAATTAGAACGCTTAAAAGAGCCAAAAATTACTCATATTTTGCTTTTTATCTTCTAAACTAAAAACATTTTGTTAAAATATATATAACATAATTTGTGCAGAATTAGAAGATCTTTCAAATGATACCTCAGAAAAAGGGCTGGCCCCTAAAATTAAGGGCCAAGAGGGGCCAAAATTTTTCCTTTATATCTCAAAAAGTATTGAGAATTTGTAATACGTCAAAGAAGCAAAGTTGTTCAAAATGTCAAGCTTAAAGTCAAAGTACGTCCGGTGACGTAACTTCCGGCCAAACCGGAAGTAGTCGGAAAACGCATATTTTGCCATTCTTGACAAGTTTTTGGGTAACATCTGTCACTGGGAGCAAAAAAATTAATTTTCCTTCCGTCGTCGTCACTTCTGGTCAAACCGGAAGTAACAAAAAATGGCTGATTTTTACATTAAATGACATAGATTTAGAGGATTTAAACAATTTTAGGACGCTATTACTCATTTTTGTAAAAATGAAAGTTACTTCCGGTCAAACAGGACGGAAGACCTTCTCGTTGCTTTGCAACGAGCTTTGCTCTAGTTAGGATTAAATTTTGGTTGAAATGAAGGGCCGCGTCTCCTTCCAGGGGGAGATAATTAAGAAATATGAAAATTGGATAGTATTTAAATCTCAGGAACAACTGGCCCAGAAAGTTGAAACATGCGTGAAAGATTTCTATGGCAGTGAAGAACCAGGATAGTTTTGGCTACTTTTGGTGATCAACGTTTAATTTACCAAGAAACCCTTCGGAAATATCTTTAAAAATCCGGTTTTACGAATAGCAAAATAATATATTGCTTATATACCGCTAAACAAGAAAGCATCCTCGGGACAAGTGAAAATTCAAATTTGTCCGAATTATGATTCACTGGGATAGTATGGGCTACTTTGGGCGATCAACGTTTTACATATTAGAAAAAATCTTTAAAACACTTCTGTTCAAGAACAATAAGGCCAAGATTTGTCAAATTTATTTGGCAGCATCCTCAGATACTATAGATTCAGCTTTGTTCAAATCATAATTCCGGGAGTGACGTAGCATCATTTTTGAAAGTGGGGGGTGGGCGGCAGCCAGGGAGATTTTTTTTTCACTTACCTGAAAAGGTTGACAAGCAAAAAAAAAAAAGGAAATTGCCCAAACACAAAAATCCTATTTCGTGGGGGTGGGTGGGGGGTGGGGGGTAGAGGGCAACTTTTTTCAAGGCCAACTTCTTTCTGTACCAATTTTTTGGCATACAATAGTACATTTCCTTGATATCACTTCCTTTCAATGAACATTTTCAATAGTAAAAGTAATGCTGGGGAAAAAAGTGGGTGGGGGCAAGCCCCCTCCCCCTCCTGGACCCCCCTGTTGCTACGTGCCTGCGGGAGTAGGGTGGGACCACTTTGGGCGATCAATGTTTTACAAAGAAAAACATATTAATAGAAAAAACGTTAAAATTCTTTTCTCAAGAACAGCAAGGTCACGTCAAGTAGCTGGAAGCATCTTCAAGGAGTGTTGACTCAAAAGTGTCCAAATCATGACCCCTGTGGATAATATGAGCCACTATGGGCGTTTAGAGTTTTTTTTATATACGAACAACCTTTAAAATTCTTCTCAAGAACATCAATACACATCTACAGGAAGTGTAGATTGTAGTTTATTCAAATTCTGTTTATCTTTAGTTTGTGCTCAGTTTGCCGGAAAGAGTAAGTAAATAATATGCGTGATTTGACAATTTAAACTTCCTTGTGAGTTTTTCTTGACCGTCTAAAAGTGTACTTTATTTATGCTGACTAACCCTGGTAATTAAATATAAAGTATAGATTTTTTAAAAACTTTTATTTAATTCAAATAACTGTTAAATTTTCCATGTAAACTCTCTCACCATTTACGCTAAAAACAAATAACTAATTTGTCTGAACAAATAACTAATTTGTCAGAACGAATTTCTAATTCGTTCGAACAAATATCTTATTCGTCTGAACGAATTTCTAATTCGTCCGGACGAATTTCGAATTTGTCTGAACAAATATTTAATTCGTCCGATTAAATACCTAATTTGTTCGAACAAATAACTAATATTTCCGAACGAATTTTTTATTCGTCCGAACAAAAATATTTTTTCACCTGGCCCTTCAGCAGCGCCGTGCATCCAATCAAAAAAGACATTGTAAATTAAGCAAACGAAATGTCATACCAAGCTAATGTACATTATTCAATTTGCCAGGACAACTGCTCTTGTTCAAAATTTACAATTCAATGCTGAAGTATAATCACACATAATACATGTATCAGAATAAATTTCTCAACCCCAAAATAACATTTCAAAGAGAACTCCCTATATTCCATTTTCTTTTCTTACAAAGACTTTTTAGAACTATTCTCTTGAAGCGCCTGTCTAGAAAGCCGTAGATAAAGGGATTGACTACGTTGTTAATGAAAATGGACCTCGTCACTATAGGTAGCATTGCTGAAGCTACTGATCCTGGTTTGGCGATAAACCCGCCCTTAATGGCCGTCCATATACTGATTATTAAGTGTGGAAGATAGCTTAAAATGAAAGCCAGGCAAATAGCAAAGGCAATCCTGGTGATTCTGGTCTTTGATCTAGGCTCTTCTTTAATTTGACCTTGTTTTTGTGTATGATTCGAGTGTTTGGTTGCGAGGTCCTCAGACTGTGACGCCATGTTGGAGATATTTTCCAGAACAATGGCTTCTTGTCCGTTGCTTTGCAGTGAGGTAGAAGAGGTTTTCTTTGACGAAATTGAAGACGAGTTGGTAGATGCGACTGAGGTATGGAATTTAACGTGTTTGAAGATCTTTTTACCGATTAGAATGTAAATCACACTCAGAAATATGATCGCAAAAACAAAGAAGAGAAAAAGTACCCCATTGAGAACTACAGGGTAAATTGTGTTTTTATATTTGTCGTCTGTTGAACAGTCGTAACCCGTCACATTGTGTGGAAGCTGAACGCGCCTTGTTCCTATCAAAAAGAAAACCGGCGAAGAAAACAAAATAGCTATTATTACAGCAACGAAACAGAAAGATTTTGCCTTCAGAACTGTCATCTGAGTTTTGAGCGGCTTGCATACTCTCCTGTATCTGTCAAATGATAATCCAATTATGAAGAAAATGGAAGTCAGAGCGACGACGGTATTATTGAATCTGAAAAACTTGCACGCTCCAACTGCATAGAATGTGTACTGAAAGTTCATTTCGATAATCTCAAACGGCATACAAACCGCGGACCCCACCAAGTCTATGATCGCCAAAGCCACAATGAAGGTTCTATGGGTACTGCTGCCAAATTTGAACAAATAGACGAACAACACGGTAAGGTTTCCTGGAACACCAAGCAGAGTCAGGATTCCTAGGTAAATCATAGGAGCTAAGCGTCTCTGGACCTCAATTTGGTTCAGTTCCTCAAGTGAAAGTTCCTTTCCAAAATTTGTTGTTTCCATGGGTGGTAACATCGTAGTGAAATGTATGTCATAATCCTTTGAAACGACCATCAACGTTGTATTGTATTTAGTTGAAATTCCGTTTTTGTTCATATTAAAATTTGCTAGTCGACCAAGTGTTATTTGCGGAAAATACAGCAGTCTTCAGAACTATTCCTTCTGCCTTGAAATAGAAGGGACTTGGTAGTTTTTCAGTAAGTACTAAATATACCCGTTTTTTATCAATCACTTCGAAAAACGCGTATATTCTAAGAATAAAAAAGTACCACCGATAACCATGTATTAGCAAAGAAAAAGCGTTTTCACTTTTACAGAATATGTATATAAGGGTGTGATAGGATGACACAATGGATTAACCTCAGGCAAATATGATTTGTTGAAAGGTAATGTTTAATCTGTATCAAATTTCAATTTCCTCCATTGAAGGAATGCTTACAATGTAAAACTTTTTTGATGTATAACAGGACACTATTTATTGTTTGTGCATGGTACAACTGTATGTTTTTAAAGTAATTTTTTCTTGCCTTTCAAGTTTCCTTTTTGTAATTTTATGATCAAAACGCTCTAAATGCTACACAATAGATTCGATCTTTTCAAATACGGAAAAATACAATGACAATATAAGTAATGTTTACGTACTTTACATAAAATACATTTAAATACTAGTGGTCTATATATTTACTGTGTATATACATGTACACTACATGTTTATATACATTAAGCAGTTTGGGTTAATTTACAAGTGGGGACAGATCTAGCCTTTCCCACTCGGTGCTGTTTTGTTGTGACAGTTCCATATTTTTTCATTTCATCAGTAATTATTCACAACATACTAAATTCTTATTTTGTGAAATTTCATAAATAGATATTGTTGCATGTACAGACCATCATAAGTGATATAAAATAGCATACAATTAATCAAGCAAACAACGGAAAGTTAGCTAACAACCCGTTCCGACCTGCAGGACAACCTGACACCCATTAGATTCAATGGGTTCTTTGTCTTAATTTAAAAAGTCTCACACATCTTGGTGTTTCATCTGGGATGGTAAAGTAACTCTCGAGATGATCAACGAGAAATTCAACAAAAGAATAGTAGTACTTCTTTAGAGCATTAACTTAAAGTCAAACACCACAAAAGAGGTCATTCTAAAACGAATTCCCCAAGGTCTGGTCTCATGACTTTACTCTGACGAAAGTACAATTCTTTTAGATAGACATCCATATACAATATATTCATCAACATATTAATCGAACACTTAGTGTCTCTGTCAATTTAGTTTTATTTGAGATAGTGAGATCAATAATAATAATACAAATAGGACTAAAAATGAGTAAACATAATAGGGGCAGAAATATGTTCCTAAATTTTCGATCGACACAGCAAATTAGAACACCCTTTTCATTTTCCTATGTACAATGTATCACTTTTTATATTTCTTGCATACACTACTGAGAACAATTCTCCTGAATCGTTTATCAAGAAAACCGTAAATGAAAGGGTTCACAATGTTATTGATGAAAATGGACCTCGTCACTATAGGCAACACTGCTGAGGCTACTGGTCCCGGTTTGACGATAAACCCGCCCTTAACGGCCGTCCACACAGTGATTACTAGGTGTGGAAGATAGCTTAAAATGAAAGCCAGGCAAATAGCAAAGGCAATTCTAGTGATTTTTTTCTTGGAATTATCTTCTGGTGTAGTTTCACTTCGCTTTCTTGAGCTTTTCCTTTCAGTTTCTTTTGAGGGCTTCGGTTCCTCTCTAGGAGATATTTTATTGTTAACATTCACAAGAACAATCCCTTCTTGTTCGTTACTGTGATGATCTTTAGTAGACGACGTTTTTCTCGAGGAAATAGACAACGATTGAGAGGATTTGAAGGTGTTCCGAAACCTTATGTGCTTGAAGATCTTTCTACCAATGAGAATATAAATCACAGTCAAAAATACGATCGCAAAAACAAAGATAAGGAAAAGAATACCGTTGTGAACAACTGGGTAAATTGTCTTTCTATATTTGTCGTCAGTTGAACAATCGTAACCAGTGACATTATAAGGAAGCTCAACACGCCTTGTTCCAAGCAAAAATAATATAGGCCATGAGAACAAAATAGAGAGAAACACTGCTAAAGCACAAACAATCTTCGCCATAAACACAGTCAGCTGTGTTTTGAGTGGCTTACATACTCTTCTGTATCTGTCCACAGACAATCCAATCATTACGAAGATAGATGTCAAAGCAACGAAGGTATTGTTGAAGCGGAAAAACTTACATGCTCCAACTGCGTAAAATGTGTACTGAAAGTTCATTTCGATAATCTCGAACGGCATACAAACCGCGGACCCCACCAAGTCTATGATGGCCAAAGCCACAATGAAGGTTCTATGGGTACTGCTGCCAAATTTGAACAAATAGACGAACAACACTGTAAGGTTTCCTGGAACACCAAGCAGCATGAGGATTCCCAGGTAAATCATAGGAGCCAACCGTCTGTGAACCTCAATTTGGTTCAGTTCCTCGAGGGTCAGAACAACCTCAACTGTATTCAATTCCACAGATGATTTTGTTGCTGAATTCCCATCGTGAGGTGTAGAGGTGTTCGTTAAATTTTCATAGTCCTGAGTTGAATTTTCGAATATGTTTTCCATGATGCTTCTTTATCGATATAACTGAGAACAATCCCTAGACAGTTTTAAATCATGTTATGATGACCATGTCATAAATTTTGGCTGTAGATAATGTTCATTTATGTTTTCAAGTGGGATTTCCGAATAATTTTTACTGCGTACTTGTTAACAACACTTGAAAATGAATACTTTAAAATGATGGAACATAGTATCAGCGAATGAAACCTGTTGAGCATTAGCGACTACTTGACTTGAAAGTACCACTTAATATTTAAGTACTTGCGGGATAGAAAGATGACACAACTAAATCTTAATAAGGTGTGGAATTAAAAGGGATAGTGCCTTGACAATTAATGTTTTTGGCTCATTTTTAAATTTATGGAGAACAAATATTCGTTACTTTGTTTACATACTTAAAATCCACAGAATATTTATTGCATGATATTTTAGGTTTTGGTTAATATTTATGACTAAAGAACGTAAAAATGCGACATATTTCACTGTAGAACTCATTCAATACATACGTATGGCATTTCATAAATTCTATGGTTATTAAAAAATGACATTGTTAGCACACATGACCTATCATTGGGTCGTGTTTTGGCTGACTTATTTCAAACCATTTGTAAGGCCTTTGTTTTTATACTGAATTGTCTACGGAATATTCCGTTTACCTGATCAATACAGGTGTGTGACCCGTCAACAGGGGAAACTTCTAGGCACCTGATATCACCTAAAGAATTTCTAAGGATCCGTGTTTTATTCCCTCTTCACACAATTGGATTGTTTATAATTTTTTTAAAAATCGACCACCGTCTATAATCACCATTTACACACAAGTTTATGAAATACATACAGATATATATATATAGAGAGAGATCACAGTATTCAAGCTCATAAGTCCAATCAGACAATTTAAATGAGGAGCAGAGCAAACACGAACCTCTAAAACATCAGAGGTTGGATCAGGTATCATGGAGGATAAAGCATCCCCTAACAACCGGTCACACCAACTGTGCGCTTGTTGTTATGATGGGAAAACGAAAAAACCCGTAGACGATTTAGTGTATAAATAATGGTCCAACAATTGGTATGAAAACGTCAGTCAGCATTCGACTTAATGATAAACTTGATACTGCAATAGAAGTAAGGAGTCGATCCTCACGTCGCGGATTCGAATCCAATTGAGGGACGTGGAGACCGGTCCTTCGGATGAATCGTATTAAACCGAGACCCCATGTCGCAGTAGGTGGCAACACGAAAAAGGATACCTCACTGCTCAATGGCCGTTAGTGCTGAGTATGGGACAAAATTTGCAGCTGTCCATCGGCAAGTGGAAAAAAAACCTTTGAGTTTAAAACCCCCTTTTGTAACAAACCTTGAAACCCCATCAGGCACCGTAGAATTTGGCCACAAAAGTTTTTATTCCCTACAGAAATTGAGATTGTTAAAGGAGAAAAGAGTTTGCATGGATTGTTTTTGTATCACTCTTTATCTATCATCCTTAACCCCTTCACTTCCGTATCGGTCAAATTGACCGGTGGCGCGTTAAAACACGACTTCGCAAAAATAAGATTTCCGTATCTATTTTATGGTAGCATGAAGGTATATAAACTATATATCATCTTTTTGGAAATTTTCTCTACTTTTAAAATATCTAAAAAGATTATGTCTTGATTGCCGGTATTTATACGTTGTGAAGACAAACGTGACTTTTTGAAAATAGCGTAATTTTCCAAAGCAATTGCCGATTTTCCAGACGATTGACATTTTTTTCCTGATTAACTTTATAAGGAAAGTATAGTATATTTTTAAAGCATATTTTCTCTGCTTTTAAAATATGTAAAAATTATTGTTGTTACCTTAAAGTATATTTTAAAAACATGAATTTTCTTGCACTTATGTGTTTTTTCTCGATTTTATTCGTAATGTTTTAACAGAGCTCAGTTTTAAGTTTATTTCTGTGTTGAAATAGGGAAAAACAAATTAAAGCTAGTAAAAGTAGAGAAAATTTCCTTTCCAACCAGCCCTTACAGGGCTTATTACGCTCAGTATTTTCTTAATTACGATAATTTGAATTTGTGACCTTCGCATAGTTTTTATGGAAAAATCGGTCAATATTTACATGTAACGTCAAGGTCGATATTGTTGCGTCTTACTCGAAACAACAAATTCCTTTATAAGACGTTTTTGACCATTTAGAATATATTTTTTACTGAAATAAATGCATAATACAAAAAAAAAAAAAAAATAGATTTCAAAAAACAAATATATATACTATCGTTCTGCCTTTTGTGAAGTGAAATGTTAATTTATTCATCTACAATAACATGTAATGATGTATATTTCATGTAATGATTATACAATGTTGATAAAAATTGTAGATTCCCTAAACGTTGATCTTTACTTTAAAAAAATCAGATATTAATATTGTTGTATCTTGTTATACTGTATACTTAATTTGCAATTTAATTAAATCTATATTGGCACGAAATTTAACAATACAAAAACTCGCATTTATAAATAAA